GATGGATGTCTCTCATCTCTTCTGTGGTCCCGTGAACGCATATGCAGGGCAGTAGCTTTATTTTTTTGTTTTTTTTTTTTTTTTTTTCCAGTGTGCTTCCAGTGAATTTCCCTATTCTAGAAATTTGTTAAAAATCTGTTTCGTGACATTTGTCCTCTTTGTTATAATTTTATTTATTTTAGTATTCTGATACTTGTTTGCATTTTATTTTGAAATAATATTGAAATTACAAAAAAAGCTGTCAAAATAGGAAAGAGCTCCTGTACACCAACACCAACTATACCCTAATGTTAGAAACTTACATAATCATAGTATAGTTATCAAAATTAGGCAAGTTGTATGTGTACTGTGCTCTTATCTAAATTATGGATTTTGTATGGGACTGCAAATTTTTCACTGATGTCCTGTTTCTGTCCCGAAATCCAGTCCAGGGTATTGCATTGCCCTTAGATGTCATGCCTCCTCAGTCTCCTCCAATCTGTAGCAAGTCCTCAGTCTTCCCTTGTTTTTTATGGCCATGACTTTTGAAGAATACTGGTCACTTATTTTGTCAAATATTCCTCAATTTAAATTTGTTTAATATTTCTCCATTATGAGGTTTGAAGTTATATATTTTTAGTAAAAATGCCATAGGACTGCTTTGCCTTTAATGACCATATCAGGGAGTATTGATGCTGGTATGTCCAATCATAGGAGATGTTACTTTGTTTACTTTATTCAGGTCATGGCTACAGTTTTCTTCATTTCAAAGATTCTGTTATTTTTCCTTTGTAGTACCTTGTGGAAGATTCTTTGTGATTATGCAAATTAATGATTCTCTGCAAATTGTTGTCCACTAACCTTATTTATTATCATTATTATTGTTATTACTATTTTTTGAGACAAGGTCTCGCTCCATCACCTGGGCTGAAGAGCAGTGGCATGATCATAACTCATTTCAGCCTCAAACTCCTGGGCTCAAACCATCCTCCTGTCTCAGTCTTCTGAGTCATTGGAAGTATAGGCATGCCACACCATGCTTGACTGATCTGTTTTGGAGAAATGAGGTGTCACTATGTTACCCAGGCTGGAGCCCCTAAGCTCAAGTGATTCTCCTGCCTTGGCTTCTTAAAGTGCTGGGATTACAGCCATAAGGCACAGTGCCTGACTCTATTTATTTTGGTACCCATCCTTGAACCTTGCTTGCATCAATTATTTCTGTCTTGGTCCAATGGTAATTATATATTTTCCTCATTCTTCTACATTCATTAGTTGATATTTTTCTGTAAGAAAGAGTTATTTTCTCTCCTTTCTATCCAATTATTATTTATTCACTATGGATTTTTATGTTTGATTGTGTGAATTATAACCCAATAGTATCATTATTTATTTTGTACTTCAAATTGTTTCAGCTTTGGTCATTGGAAGTGCTTTCACATTGGTTCACATGTCCTGTTGACATGTCCATGTCTCTTTTTGAGCATTTGTTGATTTCTGTCACAAGATATTCCAGAATCACATAGTATTTTCCCTTATGTAGTGCTGGAATCAACCACTTCTCCAAGGATCTCTGGGTCCTTTTATTGGAGATTGATATGAGAAAGCAAGATCTGGGTACTAACTCTGCTCCTTGCCACTGGGGTTCCATTGCTTTTAGGAAATACATCCTAACTCATGGATATACTCAACTAAATTATTCATCTGTTATATTTTAATAACCATGAGTTTATATGTATCTTCCTCTATTTTCATTTCAGTGGGATATTAGAGAAGATGAGAGGCAAACATGTATGCTCTGTTTGCTAACTTTAATCCGAAATTCCAATTCTTCAGATAAAATTTTAAATGAGTACCTTCGAAGATTTATTTTAATAAAAATTACATTGTTTTTCTTACTTAGTACCCTCAAATACATTATTCAGTCTTTCAGATGCGATGAATCTTCTTGAATAAAAAAATTAATCTAGACTGGCATAAATAGAACAGTGAATACTTCCATGGAGATTCCTAAAGTAATTGCCAAAATAAAGAGATCTCTGGAGGCTCAGTTTCATTCATTTATCAGAGAAGACAGCAAGCACTTAATGTTGACAATAGGAAAATAAATACTACTCAGTTCAAAATTGAGCACATCTTTAGACCAAGATGGTGTTTGCAACATAGTAGACACTCAATATATACTTGTTGAAATGAATGAATGAACCTTACCAATATCACAGTCCATAACCATCTGTTGCCATATAGTTCTCCAACTTAATGGAAAACAGAGCATGCATTGCAGCATGATGCCACATACCTCTGTTCTCATCATGCTTCACTAATTGATTCAGCAAATAGCTCCCACCCAGACATAATTCTAGGTGTGTATATTTTTAAGTGAAAGGAGTCTATCAGATGATGTATCTTTTTTTCTAAATTTCCCATCTTTTTCTTACTTTTGGAAGGAGTTCAAATATATAGGATTTGGCCTGTAAGGTAAAACATTTTGAAAACTCACATGAAATTAGAAAACACGTTGTTTGTGAATTCAGATGACCTACGTAACAAATGTACAATTAGCTTCAGATAGAAGTGATTGGATTCCATGTATTCAGAGATATGTGCTATAGAGAGCTATAGTTCCCCTGTAAGTGGGTAAGATGTCTTTATTAACAAAATATTTGCATACATCATATGTAAAGGTGAATGGGGCTTTTTGACTGCTGATCCATGATAGACAGATTAGAAAAATAAGCTGACTGTTGGTATTTAAATAAGCTGACTGTTGGTATTTTCTGTGTGGTCAGTTTGTCCACGAAGAGAGAGAAAAATTAGCTTGCTTTATGTGGCTTCTCTTTAGGCACTTATACTCTGTAGATCGTCTCTATGTTTTCAGTGTTCTAAAGTTAGGTGAGCAATCCTTGTATCCTCTCTTGTCTTCTTTTCCTTCAAAAATATACACCTATATTTAATATCCATGGACAGAGATAATGTTTTAGGGAGAAGATAGTGAGTTGTGGCTTGGAGGAGAGGAAAAAATGGGGGAATAAATGAGGGAAGGATGACCTTCCAGTAGAGGAAAAAGAGAGAGAAAACCGATTACTGCGATGCTTATGATTGCATGGGCAGTCTGGTTCAATCACCTATTTATTGAATTTTGTAAAGGCATCCACTCTGTAAGGGAGTACATAGGATTAATAAAATTAAATAGTCTCTCTGGGTGTGGTGGCTCATACCTCTAATCCCAGCACTTTGGGAGGCTGAGGTGGGCGGATCACAAGATCAAGAATTTGAGACCAGCCTGGCCAACATGTTGAAACCCCGTCTCTGCTAATAATACAAAAAAAAAAAAAAAATTAGCTGGGTGTGGTGGCAGGTGTCTGTAATCCTAGCTACTTGGGAGGCTGAGGCAGGAGAATTGCTTGAACCCAGGAGGTGGAGGTTGCAGTGAGCCAAGACCATGCCACTGCACTCCAGCCTGGGCAACAGAGCGAGACTCCCATCTCAAAAAAAAGAAAAGAATAAAATTAAGTAGAGAGTATCTTGATAAAGCACTCTTAATTCTTTGAAAAAACTTGTTCCAATGTCTAATAGCCCAATATACACCACATGACTATTTTACTCACGAAAAATAGTGACTTGATTATATGTGACACTTTTAATGACAACCATAATGTAAAATATGTGATTACTGGGATGGGGAAGAATCTAATATATCTCCTGATAATGTAGCTATGTTAGAAACTTTTACTTTTATTGAAGAAAAAAACATAATAAAATTGTATATATATAGTAAATAAAATTAAGTTTTCATTTGGTTTTGCTGATGAGCCAATTCAGATTTATGTGCTTTACCAGTTGTTGGAAGGACTACTGTTGAAGTCACTTACATGTATATTTATAAACTTGAAGGATATAATTTTTATGACAGTAGTGGATTCATTAGGAAAAATATTTCAATCTTTTACATTTCTAGGTAAATTTCAACTAGATATTTTTTATTGCATAACTGTAACAACTTCTTGTTTATGATATGCAATCAAGTTTTTAAATATAAAATTAATATGTGATCATTATAGAAAATTTGGAAAACTTATATACATAAAAATTAAAGGAAATAATTGTGCCATTATTGAAGGATAACTATTTTAATATTTATTTTAGTTATCTCTCACAAACACACGAGTGATTGTAGTACTTTTTAAATTCATTATAGCATGCAGTTTCTCCATTTCAGTAAATAGTCTTAGAAATTTGAATTTTTATGATGGCATACTGATCTTCAAGCCTATGTTAAAAATTTTATAAAACCCAGTTGCATCCATTAGTCATTCTTTCTCAAAGCTAGCAATGATGAAAAAGGGGTTTGGGAGCTCTGAAGCTGAGAAGGGAAGTGTTGAAGTGTCTGAGTAGGGCCAGCAGGGGCTGCTGTCATGGATGAGTCTGCCACATTCCTGGTGTGTCTGACTTTGGACTCATTTAACATTGTAGTCTGGATTCTATTAAGGGAATTTCATGTTTCTCTTTTGCAAGAGTCACCCCCTACCATGATAAATATTTAAAAATGTGTTTTTTCTTAAGTTGGGAAAGCAAACTTTTTCCCAAAAGAAATTTATAGTTCAAATTTACACCAAGTTCTCACTAACTGGAGCAAGCCGGGTTTTCACTAAAGCTTCGACTTTCCTCTGTAAAACATTAGTCACTCCCTTGGAAGAAGTAGTATTTTTTTATAGACAGTGGGATAAAACAGCCACGGATGTATGTATAGCAGTACATCTTCAGAATGTACCTGCAGAGCAGTTTTATTTTTCCATTTGGATGCAAAAAGATGGAAGAAAAAAGACTGAGCTGGGATGGTAAAATAATAGTGATTCATTATGAAGTAGATGATAAGTTTTTGACTCATTCAAATAGTGCTTTCATTCCCCTTTACTTTAGTCTCAGGAAGTTCCTGTGGTTGTGCCAGGTGATTTTCAATGAACAATTTTTAAAGGTATTCACTATTCTCTCATGTAACCAGTTGCTTTTTTTTAACTGTACAGGACCATCGTGAAGCCTGTGGCAAAAGAGTTTGATCCAGACATGGTTTTAGTATCTGCTGGATTTGATGCACTGGAAGGCCACACCCCTCCTCTAGGCGGGTACAAAGTGACAGCAAAATGTAAGTATCTCTTTCAGGACTTTATGAAAGGCTATGATATCATACCACCTTTTAGGTCTTTATGATAGACAGTACCCTTTACATGTGTCCAGTAAACTTGGATGGGACATTTAAAAATGATTCAGATGGTGTTTATTGCTCTGTCAGATTCATGTTTCTGTAGAAATTTGCCTTTAAGAAAA